CGCGGCTCCAGCCCCACAGCCTCATCCCCGCGGCTCCAGCCCCACAGCCTGATCCCAGCGGCTCCAGACCCACAGCCTCATCCCCGCGGCTCCAGCCCCACAGCCTGATCCCAGCGGCTCCAGACCCACAGCCTCATCCCAGCGGCTCCAGACCCACAGCCTCATCCCCGCGGCTCCAGCCCGGAGCAGAGCCCGGCACAGCCTCATCCCAGCGGTTCCAGACCCACAGCCTCATCCCCGCGGCTCCGTCCCGCTGGCGCACCCCGCGGGTCCCCGCGGTCCCACTCACCGTGCCGGCCATGGCGGGCTGGAGGGTGACGAAGGTGTCGGGGGTCCCCAGGCCCCAGAGCAGGTGGGCGTCGGGCAGCTGCAGGTGCAGGAAGGCCGAGGACGCGCGGCGGATGCTCAGCTCGGCACCGGAGAAGGGCAGCGTCACCTCCCGCCCGGCCACTGTCACCTCCCCTGAGGGCGACAGCAGTGGCTCCATGGGGCGGCCACCGGCATGGGGCCCATCGCCGTGGGACAGGGGCTGGAGTGGCTCCCGCTGCCACGGAGATTTGGGAACGGGCACTGGGATGTCACCCGCCGCCGTGGGGACAGGGGGATGGGCACAGGGATGAGACCCGCTGCCACAGGGACACTGGGGACAGGCACTGTGGCGGCTGCCACACCACCACCAGGCTATGGGGATGATGCCGGTCCCGGTCCCCTGTCCCTGTCCTGTCCAGGAGTGTCACCTGTGCCGTGCAGCCGGGCCGTGGTGCGGCTGGTGGTGACGGTGAGGCTGCGGGGACAGCCCAGGGGCCGGGGGCTGTCACACGGCTCGTGCTCGGCTGTGATCAGCAGCCGCCCCGCCACGAAGTCCTGGGGACAGAGACACGGTGACAGCCCCCGGCAGAGCCCTGCCACCGCGGCCACCGCGGCCACCTCCCCATCACCCCCCAGCCACCCCCACGGCCACCTCCCCATCAGCCCCCAGCCACCCCCACGGCCACCGCGGCCACCTCCCCGCCACCAGCACAACACCACGGCCACTAGCAGAGCCCCGCCCCGTCACCGCTCGGCCACCGCCGATGTCCCCCGTGTCCCCTCACCTCCACCAGGGTGTGGGCGCAGGCGGCCGGCAGGGAGAAGCGGCGGCGGTCGAAGGTGACAAAGTGACGTCCCTCCAGCACCGCGCACTCGGCCGGGCACCGCTGCTGGTCACAGCGCCAGCGGCCACCCTCGCACGTGCTGGGGACACCCGGGGACACCGGTCAGCGGGGGAGGGGGCGCCGCGGCGAAGGGGGGACACTGCAGGGGACCCCGGGGTAACGCGGGGACACCTCGGGGGACTCCAGACTGGGGGACACGTGGCAGGGGACACTGGGACAGCAGGGGACATCACAGGGAACATGGGATAAAGCGGAACACTCTGCAGGAACCCCGGGCTGAGGCGACACCATGGAGGACACCAGGAGGGGGGGGCACGCCAAAGGGGACCCTGCCCATCAGCGGGTGCCAGCCCGGTGCCACCGCTGTCACCGCGGTGCCACCCACCAGCGGTTGCAGCGCTGGCGGATGCTCTGGCCGGGCTCGTAGCGCTGTCGCCGGTGGTGGCAGGGGCAGGCGGCCGGGGGGACGCAGCGAGCCCCGTCCCGGGCCAGCCCCGGGCCGCACTCGCAGCCGCCGTGGCAGTGGCGGTGGCAGGTCCCCTGCTCGGCGCCGCCCGCGGTGACACAGGTGGCCGGGCACAGGGACACGCAGTCGGAGAAGCGCTGCCCCGCGTCGCAGCGGCGCTCTGAGGAGAGGCGACACCGCGGTGGCACCGGTGGCACCGCGGGGAGGAGGTGTCGGGGAGGGGACACGCCAGTTCCTACCGCAGAAGCCGGGATGGCGCCAGGGGACATCGACCTGGCGGCGGGAGCACTCCCGGGCGTAGGCGGCGAAGGTGGCGCAGGCGGCGGGGGGCGGGGGACC